AAACCTTKCCATGTTCCTGAAAAGTTGCAGCATGAAGTGGTGTCCATCCAGTTTCTTTATTTTGYACATTAACTTCTAGAAACAGGAAAAATTAAAAGCTCAGTTAAGYACTATTTGGAGATGTTATCTTCAAATAATCAKTTAACTAACCAGCACCATTATTCAGAAGGTTGTTAACAACATCATAGAAACCCCAAAACGAAGCTGAAATAAAGTTKAATTCTCAGTCAGTCAAAAGAATGCATTCTTTCAGTATAAAGTCCATTCTTGTACCCATTCTCAGTTTCCTGATGGAAWATCAAAAGAGYCGAGATGGAGACAATACCATAAGACCCAGAGTCTGGGTATATCAATCAAATCAAAGAGTAATTTTCTTCAACCAGAGCATTCAATTTTCTGTTGGAAAACTGAGAAGGACCTTGGTGCTGTATGRTTAATGATTATACCTATGTAAAGCTGACTTTGAACCCTTTGGTTAGCTGTTCCCTCTATCTGGACATTTTCTGTCAAAAATCTGTCAACCAACTTTAAAGAGGAGTATTTTAGTTGAAGCTTCTAATTTAGGTGATCAATGATATTATATCAATAATAATCTATTCTTTCCCTGGAGATTCATTAATTAATGATAAAGAAAAATCACTAAGACTTTATAGGCCACTCATTTTAACTGTTACTTTTATAGCTCACTTTAAAATATTTAATTGCCCTATGCATAGTCACACGTGATTACAGTGTTTGATTGGTTATTAATTTGTAGAGCCCTTATGGTGGGTCAGAGATTTATTCTTGTAGCTAGGTTTTGGTTTACTTCTCATGTGTGAATAAATCTCTATTCTGCCAAACAAACTACATGTAGTGTGTGTTTCTTCTTGTTTTATTATTGACATTTAGGGGAATTTCGCCTCTTTGTGTTATGATACACTGATAAAAAACTTTGTATGCATGTTTGATATGCCACGTATAAAAAGACAAGTACAATGGAAATAAATGACAAATATAAGCTTTAAATTAACTTAAAATGTAAAGTAGGCTTTTAATCTTAACACCGTACTGTCCCGTGGTAACCATGGAAGCAAGATGAAACTGATGAATCATTAATCGCTTTTTTTATATAAATTTTATTCTAATTCAGATAAACTGTAATGGTTATCAGTGAACTCTATATTTAGGAAWGTCTACAAAATCTTAAGTCAAACARTTTACTCGAGGTAAACAACTGTCACAAAAGTAAACAAGTCGAATTATACCAACGGTAACATTACAAATAACACTATAACTTTGCTAATGAATTACCTTATCATCACCCTTCCGTGCCARAGTTGAAAGAGCAACCAATTTAGGGTCAAAATCCCGTAAGTTTTCTTGTAGTGATCTACAATTTTGCTCGTTGCTGGCTGCCATTTTGTCGGTACAAAAACGAACCGGAAAGAGCTGGGGCGAGAACACAGGGAACCCAAAGGAAAATGGAGAACATGATGAAAAGAAAGATAGCCGGGTGATGCAGTCTACATGAGATAAATCAGTAGAAAGTTACTGCTATGAGTAAAGTGACACCTTTTATGCTTGCTAAGGGTGCCTTATCTTCAGGTATGTATAATGTTTAAAACATTTTTTCGGTTCATATGAGCTACTACACTGACCACATGAACATTGTACCGACTTGAATATTTTAGTGAGGTTTGMGAGGGATTCTGTGTTTTTCAGCATTCATTGGAGGCTCACTTGGCATTGTTATCAGGACCTGGCATCGAGATAGCAAAAGAGCAAGGCAACTGCTTCGATATGCTGCAACGACAGGTTTGATTTAAATTCTTATCACATGAACTGCAGCAACATGAGGGCCATTCCATCTTATATCCACAAAGCTTATTTAATATATATAAAATGGAATGGCCCTGCAGATCAGGTATGAGCTCTGACTATTGAGTCACTATTCTTTTTAGGTGTTTCTGGATTGCTAGTTGGTTATACATTTGCATCACTTAGGCGTCAAAATGGATATTCACATGGATTGTCATTTGGTGGCAACTTCTTTGCAATATCTGCAACATTCCTAGGTATATGTACTGAAGTTATGTATGGTCCCCAGGAATCGAAGGGTGGAGTGTATGTGAAACTTGTAATTCTGAGTCCAAGTCTAAACTAGTCTCTCTACTCAGTAGAAAGTCTACCTTTGTACAGATTGTCACTCAAGAATAWGCCCAAACCACACACCAACAAGGAGACAAAATAATAATTATTCTATTTTTGATATTACTTAAAGAATGTTTTATTTTTCTAGTGTATCGTGACTTTATTCTTGTAAACTATGGGGAAGGGGGTCGACAACTGTACACCAGTCAATCAAATGACTGTAATGTGATCAGTGTATTCCAAGCAAGACATCCTATGTCACCAACTGTTGCTAGTGCAGTCAGYGGAGGATTGACTGGCTTTGTATTGTCTACAATATTTTGTAAGTTCCTACACTTTTCATTACTTTATAGCACCAAAATACTAMTTGATGAAACATGTATGCATCAAACTTCATGAGATAGCAGCTTTATCCTACATCCTACTCTGCTGCCATGTTTGTGGATAAAATAGGAATGAGAGGGGACTGAGGGATGGAAAAGAAGATGTTTTTCATTTTCTTCCTGCCTTGTTACTAGTCCCACTCTCTTAGTGATCTAACACAGTAAGCCCATTCTGACACCTGCAKAGGACGCTACTTCAATTATCTTTTTCTCATTCTATAGGGTATGGACCACTAGTCCTTATGACAAACTCATTACAAGGAATAGGACTTGGAGCATTAGGTAAAGTACATCCTTAGAAAATCAGGGACTCACAATACAATGAGCTTTTGCKTGGTAGAGGSTGGTTTTAAAGAAATATGGAGAAGCATGAATCAGCAAGSGGATTACTTACCCAGCTCTGGCACACAACAGGTCATACAGTAATATTATAAAACATGCATCTGCACCATTTAGCGCATTAAGGTTCAACAAGGATTGTTTTCCAATTACTGTCCTGATGGAAGTCAAAGATGATGCTCAAAATGTAGCAAGAACAATTGCTTCTTTATTTCCAGCAAGCTATTTAACATCTCTAATGTATATAGTTCTTTTCACTTCACAGGTTGCATTAAATATATTGTCTCTTTGTTTTTGTCTAGGTCAGTTTATTTATGAMAAATACTGTGCTTGGAGACTTGGAAAAGTTTTAGAGTACAATTATCCAGAACTAGCTGGTAAAGTCAGTCAAGTACAGGGTGATTCTGATGTACAAGAGGTAAATGATTATGTATTATTTATGAGGCTTTCCAAAGTGGGTCCTAATGTCATCTTCTCACTCATTGTCCAACCTGCTTGAAACCTGAGTATGGCTAGAGACAATAAGTTATTGTTAATTTTTTTTTTTGTTTATGTTGGCTGTCAGTTTCCTTGAACAAGATTGTCACTACATTTTCAGCTATTTTTGAGCTACAATCTAAAAACCTCTTTGACAACCCTTAAAACTACTAACAAAGGTAGATTGGAAAACAAAACTGTCACCCTCATCACCAGTTCATGCATTGCCTTATTTTGAGCTGATCAACATGAATTGGTGGGTGAGAGAAAGGATGGGTTGGTTTGGGGCGTGGTTGCTCAATATCAATCCTTGCTTCCTTTTGTAGAATGTCCATTGGAGTGAACGTCTGAAAAGATTTCTCTCACAACGGACCCACTCATCTGAAGTCATGGAAGAAATCAGAGATTTAGAAGTCCAGCTAGAACTATTAGAAGAAGAACAAAGAAGGCTACAATCGAAAGGAACTAATTCAGAAGAGCAGAAAAAAGAAGAGTAATTGTTTCGAAAATTTGTGTTTTGTCAAATTTTTCAAGAATTTTTTTTTTCCAGATTGAAAAGGGTGAAAAACCTATATTTTAACTTTCGGTGTTACTGGGCGTCATTTATTCTGCTTCACTACAAAACGTTTTTGTCAGTACTTTATTTTGTGAACGTTTTCAGATCATTGATCTTTAGAATGATCTCTTAACAGCACAGTTAAAGCCACCCCTTCCCATGGCCTTTCTTCGCATGCTKGCAGCCTTGTTACATCGTTGAAGCTTGGCAGCATTCCAACGTGCAAGGTTCTTCCTTCCGCCTTTGCTTTTGGTGACGTTTTTGTGCTCCAACTTCTGGGCRCTTTTTACAACTTTAGAGATTACAACTTGATTTCGACTTCTCGGATGTTCAGAGGAGAGTGTGTCGTCCATCGCTACGGTGTCGAGTATCTGAGCCAAGTACACGCGGAAAGCTATCATCATTTCTCTAGAGCTGTGAACCAACGAATTCAAACCTCTTGAAAATGAAAATCCCGGTGTTATATGATTTTCGTCTTGGCTGTAACTGGTTTGCCCTTTATTATTGTGGCTTACGAGCAGTGAAGTGTGGCCAGGTTTTGGCGTAAGCTCGTTTCTCTTGCGTCGATTTTTCGTTTTGTACGTGGTGTTTTGGCGTTTTCTTTTCACAGGCCTGTCGAGCAGAGGAGGAATGCCCGCGTTACTGCAGCTTRYGTTARCGATCTTGTCAGMGCAAAGAGACTTRATRAGACRAGTCGTSTTGTGCGCACTGCTGGACTTTTTTCTGATGCTCCAGATTCGTACCATACTTGAACTAAGCGTTTCTCCGGATACATCCACCAAAATGGACCAGCCTTCTTTTGATAGTTTAGTGAAGCTGTTCGTAAAGTACGAATGAACTTCTGGTACACAACACCAAGAGTCAGATTGCGATGGCTTGATAATAGGCATGCGTTCCATTACATCGGGTAAAGGGCTCAAGACGGATGTAGGATGTGYGTTTTCTTGATCGAATACAATCCAAGAGATTTCTTTACCATCTGTGTGAAAACCTTGCAAGCCTTTGTAGTCGATGCTGTCAAATGGAAATCCCTGGTTGTTGCCCTCGCTGTTTAGAGATGTTTCCCYAGGTTTAGCAGTAAAAACAAAAGCATTTCGACTCCTTTTTGAACCGCAGGAAATTATTTTGCGCAGATTGTGTTGGGGAACAGCTTTGAGTGGAGGGTAGATCCTCACTTTTCCATAACGCCTTTTCTTTTTCACAATGTACGCCTCTGGACGTTTGGATCGTTTTTGGAGCGCGACTACAGTCTGATCCGGTGGCAKCGAGCTTTGCGTGGAGGTTGTTGGAAGTGGAGGAATGATGATATAGTCTTGCAGGACATTTTTTAAGTCTTCTTCCTTGTTTTGCTTTCCTTCGTTCGTTTCWACGTCTACCCAGACCCATTCAGCACCAGTTTCCGGCTGAGAATCTTCCAGTATTATATCCCTGCATCGAATGATACGAGGATCATCAGCGCTTCCCCAAAACCACGATGATAGRTAGCTCAGCATAATAGGCTGCTTCCATCCGCTTCAGTTCTTTGGTGACGTCACAACTCGATGATCGCGCGCTAGTTACGTCATAATCGAGTTTGCAGATCAGGCTTATKAGTTTCATGTTTTCAGAGTTCTCTATGTTGATTGTTAATGAGATAATTATCAATCAATGTACACGTGTGCGCTACGTTGAAMCTTCCGAAAGCACCTCCCGGTCCGGGGACTACAGCCTTCTTATGGCATGGCATGGCGATCGCATACCTGGTTTGTACTCGTTGAAATACAAGTCGTATAATCATAACATATAGAAGATGCATGTTTTCAGGGACTTTCCATGACCCATAATATGACATAGTAAAAACCGCGCATATAAGAAAACATACATTTTGGAAGGCGTTGGATATAATGTATCCTTACTTTTTATTTCACTTTGCAGGAAAGTTTGAATCTTGCGTTACAGTCAAAAATAGAGTAGAAAGATAAAAATCGAAATAAATCCAATAAATTAAAGATTCCATTTTCAACAAAAAGACTTATTTAATGTCGCACAACAAGGCCACACCTCTCATGATCCAATGATCAGGACTTTGTACGGTCTTAAGCCATAATGGGGTAATGTATGTWAGATCTGTACGCTGTGGTTTCTTGTAGACAGGGCATTGATATAGACGGGGGTCCTTGGGTGCTGTAGAATTGACGGCGTAAACRTGAACTACTGGCAAAAGCGTGAACAAAACCTTGGGTTGGGATTCGGTGAGCTTGCAGCCACGACGGTCCCAGCTAGCACCATCAAGATATAGACCATAGATGTACACACCCTCCTGTATCGATAAGAMACAATATCAACTTGTTTATTGATATATCGATTGATCGGCAAATGTAAATATATAAATATATAGCGGATAAGCTATTGATTTTTTTTCATACCGTTGGAGGTGATGTAATATCTTCCTTCATTTGCTTGATGACATCATTATGCAATACCACGGAGTCYAGTGCCCAGCCCTTGTGGGCACGAGTCACTTCTTGTCTCATCGCAGTCAGGAAACCTTGTGGATTAAAGAAGCCTGTCATCCAGAAAGTGCTTGGTCGGCCTTGGAAAAGCCAAGATGAGAACTGACTGTTGCGCTCTATCAGCTCAGTGAACCAAAAGCCAAGAGTAGATGACTCCCAAGAGATCTAGAAATTGTATAACCAGCATCAATAGATCTAAACGACTGATAACCAGTGTACACACATAGTGAATCAATATAGCGGTGCTGATTGTTGCCTGATGACTATGATACAAGTGATCGTACCTTTCTCCACAGYGCTGGTACTCTAGCATCATACATATTGTCCAGTGCATCGCGAAGGTTCTAAAAAAAAAGTGCAAAACAAATAGTGAGAAGCATGTAATAATAATCTGATTGGCCAAATGAGAATTTCAGGAAACTAACCTCACTCATGATAATTGTACCCTCGATAGCAAGCTGCAGATCGGTCAAGGTATGTCGAACCAAAGTGATCACTCTCTGCATGCGATCAATTTCTTGACGTAAGAAGATGTTCATGGACGCCAGGGCACCCATCTTTTGTAAACGAGCGCGGACCTGTCACAAGACATGAATAAGTAATAATAAAAATAACAACAACAACAACAACAACAACAACAACAACAACAACAACAACAATAATAATAATAATAATAATAATTATATGCAAACCTCATGTGGGACATAATCATCTGGAAGCTTCTCGAGCATATCTTTAGCCAAACGACTCACAATACTTTCTCTTGTCTCTCCAGCACCGCCTCCACTGTCCTTTGGTTGGATGCTCATGATGGTGTCAAGAACCTCTTTTGTTGTATTACTTTGATACCTACACAAAATAGACGTACAGTCTTACTAAACCGCCCCTAATTCCCATTAAAACGCACGTTTGTTTTATAAATCGCAACTCTGGAATAGGAATGACTATAGAATGGTCAAAAGAAAAAATCAGGAAATCGAAAAAGAATGCCATACCATCCATCCTGCTCTCTTGCACGGATTAYCCTTGCTTTCGTAAAAACTTATAGCGTATCTTTTACAAAGGGTTTTAATATAGCCTTTGTCAGATTTCCTCTCACTTACGTTATGTCCGCATTGGAATGCAGTCCGAATACTTGAGGTGTATCAGAGGATGGTAGATGTTGGATGAACTCCATGAACTGATCCAGGGTTTTGCATTTAGGAATAGCATATCCAGTATAGAAGTTAAAACTTTCGGCAAACATATGGTCTCCAAACCACACCTAATATCAATGGGTTAACGTATTGGTTATGAATACTAAAATACTATAAAGCGTGTAGATAAATAAAAAATAGATAAATTCATAGCTGACAGTGAATWTTTACGTACTTTAGCAAATGTATTGAGCAATCTCTTGTCGTAATCGTCGGTTACTCTGCCTCCATACTGAACCTCGCCCAGCATGTATCGAATTGTGTTCCACGACAGACCCTAAAAATCATCATACTTTTTTTGTAAAAAAAATATGCGCATATCTAACGTATAGGCATCCCAGAGTACCTTAATATGTGCTTTTAATAATAGTAATTACTATAGAGCACACCTCCCCGATAATTGCTGGAGTCATGGTACATATGGTACACACAAAAAAAGAAATATTTATGAACCTTTTTTGGATCGACGTCATCAAGATGGTTTTGAATGAACTGAACACTGGCTGTGAAGTCTGCTTGGTTGAATTCGTATGGTATGTTCCATCCAAGGGGTCCAAATTTACGGCGTTCCTATCATTGACAAACACAAAACAATTATATGATCAATACAGTAAAATAAAAATCATGAATCATGATTGTTCAAGACCTGAACATTGTGTATTGTTTCTTTTACCTGTACGACAGTGTGAAGGAATGCCACAGCATACAACATAGGTTTCCACTGTACCATGTTAGTTATGTCAAGTTGATCCTGAGTTATACCTGCATAGGTTCTCTTCAGACCTGGTTTGACTCCCTGAGGTGGTTCGTTGGTAAACTTGATGGAAGACTAATAATAACAATTATAATGATGGTGATATGAAAATAATGACGATGATGATATCTGATGACGATCTATGATGATAATATGAAAACAGGTGTTCTCTGGTTGCCAAGCATTTCACATTACATTTTTCGATCTCCTGTGTGAGACCTTCATAACATTAAGTAAACATAGTGAACAAGCTAACAAGTTCAAGTTTGAATTTTACTTATTATTAACTGAAAACGATGTCAATTTTGCTTACCTGTAGCAAGCTGATGGGAAACTGGGGATGAMCCTCAGTAGTAATCCATACGCGGAATGACTCATGAGAGTTTTCAGTAGTTGTGACAGTTTCCAGGAGTTCATCCATAAAGTTTAACCCGAGATGGCAGTTTTGTAGTAGAACCCATCCACCCTGTGTAGATACAACAAGATCGTTAGATTTCATTATAGGATTTGACGGTAAATATCAAGTATTGAGTGACTTACACTGGCAATGGATTGTTGAATCAGTCTTCTCGCATGGACTTCCTGACCTTGACCCATTGATACTGCTCGACATTCTATGAAAATAGTAACGAATTTGTTATTGAATCAAGTCTAACTATCAAAAATGCTGTAATATATCATCTTACCAATCCCCTTCCTCTTGGCCAATGATTCGATGGATCCAGTGGGGTCAGAGCCCATTGACAAGAAACATATAAGAGGAGTTTGAGTRTTACTCTCTTCCCACGTCGCTTCCAGGTTCAAGATGACACCTTCRGCATATCGYTCACCCATTGTATCAGCAATGTACTTACGAGCTTGAGGTAGAGTTCGATCAGGGCACCAAGACCTACAAGGCGTGAACAACATACGAGAATTAGCATATATTATTGCATTCATCCATTATCGTTGCATCGTTGCTGCTGCTGCTGTTGTTGTTGTATGTCTGTTAGTCCTGCCTTTTGAAAGGCGTATCATTATGGCAGGTTCATTTTTCAGAGCAAGTCTAACCTGACAAGGAGAAGCTTTCTGAAAGTATCCAATGATGTCTCGTAACCATCAGGAATTGGGTTTTCTTCTGGTGCATCTTTATCAAACCACTGTCTCCAACCACTGTCATTTCGACGAACCTTGGGACAATCAACAACTTTGATAAGAAAATCCCCTAACGTAGTCAGTACTCCCTCCTTTCTAAGCACTAAAACTTTCTATTATTTCTAGTGTTGAGTCAGTATTGGTATATCTATCTGTCTAACCTATCTACAAACCTGATCTAGAATTCCTGAAAACTGCGGTAGTTTGCTGCTAAGCTCAACTAAATTAAGCCATGTCATGTCAGTGATCCATTTAAAGGGTTTAGGAGGACACGCCTTAAGGTCCAGAGCGGCTCCACCTTGATAGTGTAAAGAACAATATGAAATGTGACACTGTCTAATTTTACGTAATTTTATTCCGATCGCAGTTACTTTAAATACCAAAATTGACGACACTACAAATTATAGTTTTCCAACATACCTTTAATAAAAGTCTGAAACTCGGAATTTTTTACTTTGCCACCCTGGATATCAATCTTGAGAGCAAGAAGCAAAGTAAAAAGGAACTTGTGGTTTTCATAGAGACCTCTGCATGAATACTTGAACACCTCGTAAGTAAGGAACTCGATGATGTTTTGGATTCGTTTACTGGGAATTGGAGACTTCTCAGACCTGAAAGAAAAATGAATTTACATTCGTAAAACAGTCTCAATATTACGCGAGTACTGATTTTCAGCAAACTGGAAGTGTGGACAAACAATACGTATCGCGCTCCATCCGTTTCTCAAAGTTACTGCGCCTCTCATAATGATCCAGGACATGATAATAGTGCAAGACTTCATGAAAGTCTATAACATACCTGGCCATAGATAAATCRAACACTCCAAGAAATTGCCGTAAAGACGTCTGATACATGATGTTAACCATACTCATTTCAACGATCAAGAAGTACAAGATACTGCCACGAGTTGCCACAGGACGGAACTCCTCTCTAGCAAGATTGATTTTGGTCTCTGTCTCGGCTGCGACGGCTAACTTCTCACTCACTTCCTCTGCCGTCTCCTTGGTGATGTTCAGTACAGCAACTAGGGATTCATCTTCGACAAGGGAGCCCTAAGCCGTAGAAATAGAAAATGGATTTCCTTATGAACTTTACAATGAAATATTACCATAGAACCGCACAATGTTTCAAATACTAAGAAATATTACATTCCCAATAGCTCTGAAGTAGTTGGCTTAAATGGCGCCCGTTAGTATACACAAAGTGTTTCAAGTTGATCATACAAACCAACCTGGGTGCTTGTAAGTCTGAAAAGCAAGTTGTCTTCTAATTCTTTCATTTTTCTCTTGTTGCTGGTAACATCTTCCATCAATTTAACTCTTTCGGCTTCAAGTTCCTACAAAAATACGTGTTATTCAACGTCAGTCGAGGTAAAATAAATAAATAAATAAATAAATAAATACCACCCCTACTCTGTCTGAACTTTTAAAGACCAACATATAAGAACACAGGCAAACTCAGCAGATATTATATATATATATCTCAGTACGTTTATTTAGCTTTTACGCAATCGAGATGGCTTACCTGCTTCTCAGTGTTAATAACGCGCCCAAGGAGCTGCTCTTCGAGACCTTTCATTGTGACTGTGAAGTCGATGATAGCGGTACGTGCACTAATCTAAAATACATTCATATAGAAGTCAGCCAGACGTTTAAATATATATTGATAGATTACAATAGAAAAACTATCCGAAACATAAATGTCAGACAAATATGATCTTTGCATTCATGACCACATGATTATCTTTAACAACTACTGTATATTACAAATTACATTTATAGCTTGGYTAGTCTTCACGGGTTAAATGCCTTCAATCTCCATGACGATATAAATATCAACAAAGTAATGACATACCTCTGGAGTGTAAGCAGGATTTCCAAGTTTAGTGGTGATGTACATTCTGAATCCTGACATTACATCACACTCTTTATCGCCAACTTTCACCTAATGTAATCACAACAAGTTATATTTGTAGCGCTTTGTAACTTACAGTTTTTCCATTAAGCAAAAAACAACAACATATTTTGGATAGCGATTAACCTCAACCTAGAGATATCTCGAGCTGATTAATGCTTAGTTAATGCAGTTTCAGCCGCATTTTCCAGTCTTACAGGAAAGTGTCAAAAAGTACTCACCTATGGGTCGTGCTTTCCTTAACTTACGTTGTACATATTTCCTACGCGATTTTTACAAGTGAATGGCGCACGAAATGAACTTATAGTTAACACAATACAAAATCGAGTGAGTATTCACTTTGCTATGCCATTATCATGCTGCTTCTRTTTTCTCGCAAATTACCTTGTAAGTCGAGCCAGATTTAATAAAATTCTTTTCCAGAACATTATCAAGCGCTGGATCAAGCTCCTCGCCAACATCCTCGATTAACAACGGACGGCCAAGAGAAAGGGCRTCTTCCAAGTGATTACGAAAGTACTTATGGTTCAATGAGGTTACCTTTCAAGATCCAGGAAAGAAAAACAGTCAAAAGTTAGATGCGAAACGCACCAGGGTATTTCATATATCCAAGACATATATTGTTTATAAAATAAGGTCGGGATTTGATGAACTGATTTAAAACTATTTTGRCCAAGGTTCAATTATACCTGAAGGTCGTTTTCTTTTTCTCTGTTCAGCAGCCAAGATTTGCCCTGAGTTTGTGGATCAATCAGCAGWGGATAGCGAGTTGCCTTGGTTACAATGATACCATTCTGTATGGACAGCTCGTCACTTGGAAGTCCTTGAAGGTTCCAGTCACCAATCTACGTCAAACCATACATGAAAAGTAAATACATCAAAACTGAATACGTGGCATCTTCTTAGCTAAGTGCGGAATCTAAAATGGTAGAATTTGTTTTATTTTTGTTTGAATAAAGGACTTACAGTTGCAGCATCCGTCAACATCGATGTCAAGTTCAGATTRTTTGTGAATGGAATCTTGTTGTCCAACATCTCTTTCTGCCATCGTTCTGACAGMAGGTTACGGAATGTTTGGTTGAACGGACCCGAGTATGACAGGAAACCCGTTGCCAGTAGCACGTCACCAACAAGCCTAGAAAAAGTCATCATCATTGAACCATTTGTTTCCAATGCAGGACGCGACGATTATTGWCTTAGTAAGTAATACCTAGCAAGACGTGTACTGTAGTTTTATTTCTAATGTTAAAAAATTAGCTAACATATTGTGTACAATGCGGATTATATTAAGAAGATCGAGTGCACATGACAATAGCAATACCGTCCAATTTGAGCTTGAAACTCTTTACTCTGTTCAGTCCATCGAACTTTTTCTCCTCCAAGTCCGCCAATCARTGCTGAAGCAGCAACCATTTTGTTCTTACAAGATTCTGCGTCATCTAGTAAAGTCTATTAAAACGCATTATTAGAACGGTCTAGTAATAGCAGGACAATGACACATCAAGTACCTGCTTTTCGCCKACAGCAGCGTCGTACATAGCCTGCACTTGGTCCAGTTCTTTTTGTTTTTCATCGAGCTGGGCCTGGGCTTTGTTAAGGTCRCCCATAGCAACTTTATGACGGGCTTCTTGTACAATCAAATTAGCCTGACAAAAAATTCAACAGACATCAAAGTTTGATAAATGGTCATTGTAAGAATTTGGAATTGAGTTGATTACCACAAGTAAATAAAGGGAATAGAAAGCTATAGTTTGTAATGACCTTGAGCGGAAGGACCTCCTTGTTAACACCGTAGAAGAAAGCCATTGCTATTGTCCAAGAAGACAATCCAGCAACGTTACCGCAAACCTATGTCCAAAACAAATATCAAAATATGTATATACACTTGAAGCAATGTTTATATTAGCTGTATGCTTTCATTCTCCTTTTCGGGAAACTCTATACAAAACTCTGACATTTCACAGGACTTGTTACCTTCTTGGCTGTTTCCATGTTGTAGTCAGGCATCTGTAAATACGGCTGAAGAAGTTCAACAGCTTCTTCGTTGATGGTGTCTTTGGGGAAGTTCATCAGTGTTTGAAGGAAGCCACTTGAACTCATAAGCTATGATGGATCCAGTAAAAAAGAAAAAAAGGATAAGACCTATATGTATATAAAACAGAAAAAGGGGCTCCGAGTTTGAGAAGAGCATGTGCAAAGTTCAAAATTCGCTCATGAGAACAACTTCTATCAGACAACATACCTTGAGTGCTTCACTCCAGCAAGGCGTGACACAATTTCGTTCTGGATCGTACACCACTTGTGACAAGTTGCGTCTGAATAATAAGAGYACGCAGTCCATAATGCGCATGATCAAATGTGGAGGCTTTGCCAGTTTACGAACGGTGGAAATGTCTGATGCTTTGATAGTCTGGAAAAACAGAAAAGGTACATATATCATGTAATCAGAAACAATGAACATCCATTTTCCCTTTTCCTTTCCACTTTTGTACTCCCTTTTTTATTCACTATTTTCTTTTAATATAAATGGATTTTTGTTTATACTAAAGTGAATTTCGCCTCATAACGCGACATTCTTTATTACAAAACARAATAAATATCAAGTTAAAAMTCATCATTAGGATAAGGAAGGRTTTACCTGTAGTGCCATCTCTGCTTCCTCTAACGCTGGTTTAGCGGCTGACAGCTTACCTTCTGCTACRACTTTGTCAGCCTAAAACAAAAAATATATATACAAGGAYACGGGGAAAAAGAGGGGAGGGTTGTAGGCACTCCCAGCACTGTTCCCTTCTTTTCTTAGCCCCGCTAACAAATTGCATTTTCACGTCTTAACYGTACTATTTTACATTATATGTACTCACATTAATCTCATCTACGATTGCCTGCGCCTTATCTTTCACTTTTTGTACTGATGCTTTCACTTTCTCCGCAGCCTGAGCACTGACAGTGACCTCCGCCAACACCTACGATAAGAATGCAAATGATATAGAAACCTGACAAGAAACGTTAGATATAATAAGTTAAAATTGTCAGAGTTTTACCGTATTCTTTACTTTTACAATGTTACATTATRTTAGAATTTAACGCGWYGCAAATAAATAAAWTAATGGCTACCTTATCAGCTTTYACTGAAGCAATAGCCAATTCTTTTTCTTTGACTACRAGTTCCTTTGACAGTTCAGCTACAGATTCGCTGGCCTCTACTAATTTATCCAAGCCAGTCTTCATGCGGTCAGCTAGTTCTCCAATGTGGGCTTTATTTTCTTGGTAGATTGACTTGTAGCCATCGATAAATGATAAATACGACTTGGGTGTTACATGCGTTTGACGACGGAACCTACAAGGAGACAACTAAGTACTGCATAACCTTAAGGGGACAATTTCGCAAATCAAATTATCTCCATTGGTCCGATTTTCTTTGTTCCTGTTGCCTCAACACATATCTCGCAATGCCTGTTGTATGGATTGCTTAGATTTAGGATCACCTTTTTAAACAACTGCAAATAACTAAACCTTCGTAAAACTTAATCCATGTTCGATAAAATATAGTTTGCCCTCTAATTCCAAATTTTCTGCCACAAACTTTGATACTCTACATGTGGATTTGAGGTTTTAATCCCGCAGAGAAAACCAGTGTTGAAGTCTGTTTTAAAGTATTCGGACGCGTGTGTATGGGCAAACATTCCTCGATAACACAAGTCTGGATCTCGGGCAAATTGAAGGCAGAAAGAAATCGCAGTTCAGACACCAAGAAAATTAAAAAATAGCCACGATTTCGTCAGTTACCTCTCAAAATAATCGGTGCAAGTCTCAGCAACAATGTCATGAAACACACCCATACTTTGTACCACGTTACGCTTGGTCTCGGCAGTGCAGACGATATCAAACTTGGACAAGAAGTAATCTGCCACAGCAATCAGAGCGTCTTTTGGCCAACGCGTGAACCAATCCATCGTGCAGCCRCTTATAAGACCAGGGAACTTCAGGGAACGRTTACGGAACTTCTCACCCACCTATAAAATACAMTTATTGTGAGTCGAGATTATGTCATGATAACTAGTTTGTTTGTTAAAAGTTCTGCTGTTGACGTCAAAGTTGTCAGTCTACACACAATTAAAGACAATTTACCGGGGAAAAACACAAGACAACGTGTAGGTTTTTGCGAGCTCTTGATATAAAGTAGGCGTAGAGATTATCTTGCGTCGGAGGCACTCGAGGAAGCTCTTTCTTCATCACAGAGATAAGATTCTGAGTTATTTCATCGAGCTCGTCACGTGCAAACAAGTTGGACACCTAAAACAAACCGCAATTGAAAATATTAGTGAAGCTTTACATCTTTATCACTTATTGAAGTAGTTCTCTGTGACACACGGACAAACGAAAAAAAAAACCCGCATTAACCTCTCCCGATGAAAGCACGTTGTTCAGGTATTCCAAGAAGGCCTCGTCCTTAATCTCATTGTCAGTAAAAATAAAGGTTATTCCTTGACCATCACAGCCAGCTACACGGTAAAGGTTCTTCAGGTCATCCATGAGGTTCGACACATTGTAGGTTCTGGTCAACGCAAAATACACAATGAATTTTGAATATATATAATCATGTATCATATTACGGTCAATGTACGGTACGTTTACGACCGGATCGTTTAATATGTAAACAGTTAGTCGATCCTGTGCGCTATGATCGCTTTCACACGAAAACCGCTCTACTGTCTTCAAATTGGACAAGTGAACTGTAAGATAAATCCATCTATGATCGATAATGAACACCAAGAAACCTCTTACCTTGACAGAGTTATCTGGAACATTTTGTAGCCAGCAATGAATGACGCAAGTCTCGTGAGCGATTGTTTACCGGATCCACCAACACCCACAAGAAGGGCGTTGCCACATGGTGTGCGAATAATACGCGATATCTGTATAGAGAAAAGAGCGATATCCAAATCCAGAAATCGAATATTCTTAATAATACTATAATAGTGTATCGTATAAGTATGCCATCAGTCCTGGAACTAACTAGTTTACATATGACGAGACTTGATAAGCAGACAATAACATACCTTTACCAAGTGTACCATTGCATCTTTGAAAAACACCAAGTCCAGATGCCCACCTCGAACTGTCTCGTTATACATCTGCATATACGTGCTAAGCTTTTCGTTTAAGAAATCAAAACTTGGAACCTATATGATGAAAGCGTTTATTAATATTAGCAACACGTATGAATGCGAATCAACCTATTAATCATAGCAAGCCTCAGTATCGTCGTTACTTTTGGATGTGATCAATAAGATGTTATTACGCGGCTCTCRATGGGCAAGTTCCAATAGGTAAAGCTATCTCATCTCCTCTATTCACCCACCAGTTCGTAGATCTTTGGTGCATCGAGGTCAGCGTCTTCGGGCTCTTCACCAGTTGGTTCTGGAGCATCTCTAATAAAAAAAAGAAAAGGATGAAAAATAAGTGAGGACTAAATATAAACAAAACTTTCTTCATTCGCGTTCGAGATTTGATTAATAAGGAGAAAACATCACCTTAAAAAGTCAACAAAATAAGGCTCTTCTATCAGATCGTCAAGTGCATCATCTCCGAGACACTCCTGGAGTGTCTTTTGAATCGCCTTTTCAAACCACGCCCTATCAGCCTCATTCGTAAAACGATCGGCAATCACGCGGGTACATTCGTGCTTCCATAAGCCTAAGACGAGTCTACGGCTATCCACCTCCTCGCCAGTTACATTCAACATTCCTTCCCAAATACGTGACAAGTCACGCAAATTGAAGATGTAATGGAACTTGGCAGGGGTTGGGAGCATTTTGATCTACAAGATAAGAAATATTATAACAGGTAATACGAGTTACTGAAATGTTTATAGGTAAAAATGTGTTACCTTGGTTTTCTGCCACAGCAGTCTTGTGCAGTTGACAAGCTCTGAGACAGTGTCACACACTCCTTGGCCAAAACGTTCAGGGCAGAAATAGCCACAACCAATTACACCTTAGAAACAAGATTGGACAAAAGAATTAGTATAAGCCTTTTGAACAATAAATGCAAGYAGTGGAAGTCAAGCATCAGGCTATTAATAAGAGTTTTCCATTTTTTACGAAAAGGGCATACATTTGATCAAATTATGTAACTTAATGCACCGTCCGTATAACTAAGTCCCTTTTCAAAGGGTATTTTCGTGAAAACTAAGATTACAACCAGTCATATGACTCACCAAAGATTTTGTCAATAGATGCATTAGAAGGTAAAGTACAGTTGAAGATAGAAAACTGTCTCTTCAAGCGTTCAGGGATGTCGTTACGACCACCGCCCGGATGAATCATAGCAGCAATGAACTGAATGTCTACAATGTGTGTGAATTCGCCTGGTTTTTCGAGATTGTAGAAGCCTTTCATTTCCATCAGCTGTCGAACTATCTCATTTGTTACCTTGAAATAATGCAACATATAAGATATCTCTTCAGTGACGTAAACGGAAAAAAATTAAAATCCGTAGAACAGAAAACAAACAAAGAAAACAGAACAAGAACAGATACAAAAAAGACGAGTGAAATACGATAAATCTTTGTTTAAGAAGAAAGACATATGATATTGTGTAAAAAAGATAAGTTTAACACCGTAAAAAAGTATGGGAAATAACTTACTGACGTTTCGGATGTTAATCCTTCGTCGGAGTAAAGAGGAAGGATTAACATCCGAAACGTCAGTAAGTTATTTCCCATACTTTTTTACGGTGTTAAACTTATCTTTTTTACACAATATCATATGTCTTTCTTCTTAAACAAAGATTTATCGTATTTCACTCGTCTTTTTTGTATCTGTTCTTGTTCTGTTTTCTTTGTTTGTTTTCTGTTCTACGGATTTTAATTTTTTT